GCATCTGCAGGCTGGCGTCGTTCGAAAAGGGACCCATCTTTGCACGTGCGATCCACTTGTTGGTTGCTTCGAGGCATGTCCGGTGTAGCGCGTGCAGGACTGTGTCTTGCTGGTGCTGCAGTCCTGGCGCGGCGCTGCGCATGGAGACCGACACGATGACGAAGCTGTCGGCCAGGCCGACCGGTCGGACAATTAGCATTCGCGCCACAAGGGACGTATGTGTGAGCTGTGGGTGTGCGCTGGGGACAGAGGGTATGGTAGCGTTTGGATGTCCTGCTGGCCGTCCGGGGTTTCCCCTTGCCGCACTTGTGTGTGTGCTTTCGTTTCTCTGTCCTGCACCCAGCTCGTGAATACCACTTAACGCAGTACAACTCAGCTGATGGGGCGGTCCTCTTTACTGCGCGCGCGTGCGAAATCCTATGTGTGTTCCCGTCTTGTGGTTTCATGAAGGTACTCGGCACATATCTTGAGTAACTTGTGATAGCCCTTGAAAAATAGCTTGGAAAAGGTAAAGCCGTCATCCATAACGGAAAATCACTTGATAGGACTTGATAGGACGGATGCTTGGGCTAGTTGGTCAATTGGAATTAACATATTTGCGCCGCGCAAAAAAACGACTATCAGCGTAACTACGGAAGAAAGACACATTGACAGGAAAGAGCACTTGAAATATCAAGTCGCTTTTTCGGCACGAGGGCCTCTGTATTCAAGGCCAAAATTTGCGAACCATGGTTACGGTACATGGACTACGAGTCCACGCGCGAAAGCTAAGCCCCGAAGCGGATATACATTCCGGGTTCTTCTATTATAAGCGATGTATTCAGTCGTTGGGAACATTAGCGTTCGTCATAGTTGTCCAAGATTTGGTGGCCGACGTCAGCCGTGTCCCATGGCAGCTTGTATCTGCAATCATTTTTGCCCCATTTCCGTAGCGCGTGATCGCCAACTGATACCAATGCAGAAATGCACTACTAATGCACAAATATCAATGCACTAATAGTTTATTCTGATTCTCAGAATGAGGTCGCGGTTTTACTGCAGCAGATGTATACCTGATGTGTGCGCAGACTGCTCTGTCACTATTACTATCACAACCATGCGGCCGTCACAGTTAATAGTGCGTAGCAGTTATATTATGTAAAACGCTAACTGTTCACGAAAGAACAAGCAAATGGTGTGTTTCGCGGGCAATTTTTACTGCTCAGCAGTCTGCAGTATGCAAGTAAAAAGACGCATAGACTCCAGGCATACGTTGACAAAGATGAGAACAGCTGCAATCTCTGCAAAACATTGGATTGGTTTGTGCGAATCGCGAAATATCGTTTTTTTTTTTAGCGTTGTCAATAAAACGATCAAGTTACTGCATATATTTCGTTTGATCTCCTTCACACTTTCGTCGAGCCTGATCGCCAGCGGTGCACTTTGAAAATGTACTCACACGTGACCGCTCGGCACAAAAATGACTGCCTGCTCCCTCTCCCTGGGCGGCCATTTTTGTCCTCCGCTACTTTATTTTCTCGCAGCTTCATTGAAATGCGCGCGCGGCCGGACTCCCTCCGCATCTCGGAAACATGAGACCCGTGCTTGAAATTCTATTGCCCGCAGCGAACAAGGCGGGTGGAACAGAGGGGTACCTCACGCCGCTTGCTTGGTTATTCATACTTATTATTCGCGGGTAATGTTCGTAGCGACGGGAAGGGGAGTGTGCGAGAACAGTGTGGGAAAAAGTTGGCGCGATGTTGTTACATGCTAACAACTCGCCGAGCTCACACGTGCGATACTTTGCGCTGCGGAACGTTTGGATATCGCGGACTTCTATTCTATATACCGCGAATCGCGCATTTGTTCCAGGGGTTGTGCTCTGATTTACGGGTGTACGTGCAAATTGCCTGTTCTGCCAAGATATGCACGTGGGGATGTTCAAACGAGGAATTGAATTGGATATCACATCAAAGAGCTTTGCTTTCTACGTTGAGCGAAACAACGACTTTGACAACTTTAGAAATGAACGTTTGGAACTCTCCTTGAGACGTTGGAATTCCGAAACCATTAACAAGCAAGAACAAATGTTCTTCCAGCGCACATGTGGTATTGGTTTTACAGAACGTGGCTTGCGACATCACTATTGTGATTCCATGCAAGTACGACCGAATTTTCTTTAGTCCGCCACATGTTATCACGCTTGTTCGTTTGGATTTGTCTGATGCTTCATTTTCGGTATAGCAGGCTCTCAGAGAGCTGGGTCTTTTCCGATATCTGGTTTGGGATATGTAGCTTCCCAACTTGCAAAGCTCGTGTGCATTCTCGAGTTGACAGACTCCGTGAAGATGAATGTCTAAAGCTGCACTCCGTGGCATGAGGTGTCGGCCACGTGACACCACTGCATGCTTAAACAGGTTTGAGAAGCGGGCTCGGAACCCTTAACGCAGTGATTTGCGACAGCTTGAGTCTGCACTTTAGTCAGCGTAAGCCGGCACATTACCAATGACCAACGCGTTACACGTTAAGGTTCCATGCTAACTGAGGTGCAGTGCCTATAGAGACCGAACTTGTTCATTGGAGCTTGTACATAGGTGTAGCGCAGTGCAGCTTATTGAATTATCGCACCAGTGACGTCCGGCAACTGGTCACTTGGTCAAGGCGAGTTTTAATCGTGGATCGGTTTCCTGTGAAATTCGTATATGACAGTTTCGAATCCTTTGACTCGTTGTGTGGGGTATTTTATCACCTCTAAACACGGTCTTCATTTTCTTTTTCGCTCCCATAACTTTTTCCCAATCACACCGAAACACGCAAGGCCATGCCTGTGGTCGATACAGTCCTATGACCACGTGGTCACAGTGGCACCACTCTTTTACTCCAGTATGTCCTCCAGATTTCAGGGTAGAGAATCCCAGGTGGCCACATTCGAGCCAGAGTCGCTCACTAAAGCGTTTCTTATAATCGTACTGTGGTTACAGCATGTAAAACGCCGAAAAGAGTCAACTCTGGCGTTTGCGAAAGTATCGTGATTGTTTGTTAAACACCTAGATTACCGAGCACGGGCAATTCCTTCATCCGCCCGGGGTCGGTGATCATTCGCCTTCACCACGTGCAAACTTGCACAAACTCTTACATAAAAAAACACGCACAAAAAAAGAGCGCTGAAAAGGGGGAACGGTGTTGGTGTGTGTGTGTGGGGGGGGGGGGGGTCGCCGACAGGAAGGGGGTTTCGGTTGCAGCTGTGGATTCAACAGACCCGCGTGTTTGCCAATCTCCCTTTCGTCGGGGTAGGGAGGCCCTTTCTTTGCAACCTCTTTTCAAGTCAGCCGGACGTCCCCTTCGGTGTACACTCCTGCTACTACCCCTCGCAACCGAAAGCTGGCAGGTCACATGGCGACCGCTGGGCAGGTTTTGGGCCAGAGAGGAGTCGAAGCCACGTGCTTCGAATTATCCCTACAGTAGCACGCATTAACGACTCGTCCCGTAAAGTGAACTTTAACGTGACGCAGTTGAGCGAGCACTGAAACCTGATTACAGACTGGCGCGCAATAACGATATTTCTCGAGCTCTAAAGCAAACTTTAGCGTGATACAATAGACTGTAAACTAAATGAGATTATACACTGCCAAATATCGCGTGTCGTACAACCAATGCATGATATGTGTGATTGTTCGTTTAGAGTCGAATAGGTGCAGATATAAAAGCACAAAATGCTTGCTGTTGCTGCTTTGTATGCCTCGCAAGTGATAGAAGCCGCTTAAATCGATATGTACGGGTAATATCAACATACGCCTGTTATGAGTGACTGTTCTGTGTTTTCCAAACATCCTTCAATAATGTGTTTGTCAAAATGCTACCTTTCAATGCTTGATAAAACAAAAAAAGCAAGGCTATTCCCGAATGTACTTATTTAAGCTTTTACACGGAAACCCGGTGAACGTCCAAGCTTTAGTGTGGCAGCCAGGGTTTCAGTGCATTTAGTTGGCTTAACTAGCAGTGTTCGTATTGCTAATTTAGCTATACTTCTCGGCTAATTGTATAACGTGTTGTGCGGTCAGTTCAGGATAACCTCCCAGATTTAGATTTTGGGACGCTGTGTGTTTTGTTGATTCATCGTTCAATAAAAAAAAAACACTGTGCGGGTATATAAGACAGACGAAAGATAACAGGCCAGAGCGCTTGCTGACCTCCTCTCTTATTACACCTCTTCCCTTGTAGTAAGAGCACAATTTTTGCTATTGCGTTTTCTTAACGAGGACTATTCTTGGCATCTTCTCACTGAATAGTGTCCACTCGTGTGCTTCCATCTTTAAAATATAACTGAAGATCTACGTAATAGCGGTATTAGACTAATGCGACTAAGCAATGCGTTGAGCTTTGTTACGTAGTAATTTGTGGCGTGTTCTGATAGTGATAGAGTGATCCCTCTTGAAGTCAAACGCGTATGAACTACGTCAATGCAAAATGCTGTATTTGATTTCGTACCCCAGTGTTTTGTATATATGTCAACTTTGCTTTCTAAAGAATGGTCATGCCTGCAGAGGTTTTTTTATGCGGCTGCTCATTTTTCCCTTGTAACGAAGAAAAGGAATGTTTGAATGGTCGATTGTAATTTGCATAATCACGTAAACATAATCTCGGAACATATTCTTTGTTTTTGCTATTTCGCATTGATGGGACACTGATTGGTCACTTTCGTACGATCTTTAATGCAACGCGGCCATAATTTATATACGCCGGAGTCCCGCACATCGTTCCCACCTTCTTCGAGTATGTTTGGCTCCGATCCTTTCATCACACACGCATGAAGTTTGTACTCGGGAAATAAGTGCATTTGGAACGAGCTGCCTGTCTGCGTTCTCGCAAAGCATGTGCATATTGCAAGACCATGTGTTGTCACGTTTCGTAATTAAAAGCGAGTGAGCGATGAGAAAGAAACGTTATTTTTTCTGATTTTTCACCTGTGTTTCTTTAAAGAAAAGGGCCAGTAGGACATCTTTTATTTTCTTTATATGCAGGAGGACACGATGCACATGACGTCTACGATTGGTCGTGGTATGGTACGTTGACAGATCCCTTTTAATTCGAAACGTGACAACACTTGGTTGTGCTGCTGGTTATGCTGCTGCTGCTGGTGACAACACTTGTGCTGTCCGGCTTTCTATGTGCATTTTCTCCCGTCACTGAACGAGCAGCTTAGGAAGAGTACACTGTAGACAATTCCCCCTGCAGAGCCGAAATCTTGGACGAGAGGTCTCCGACATACATGCAGGAAATGTCTCACTTCTTAAGGGGCAGATAACAAAGTTCAACATTCAGGGAAGAAGTGGAAACTTGAAAAGATAAGAAGTTTGTTGCAGCTGTAAAGGCAGATACGGTTGCCGAAAGTTCCGGCGACACTTCACGAATTGTTCATCTCAGATAGATAGATAGATAGATAGATAGATAGATAGATAGATAGATAGATAGATAGATAGATAGATAGATAGATAGATAGATAGATAGATAGATAGATAGATAGATAGATAGATAGATAGATAGATAGATAGATAGATAGATAGATAGATAGATAGATAGATAGATAGATAGATAGATAGACGGAATTGCGGTGAGGATTTCACTCTGGATTGCCTAATGAAAACAAGGAACTACGCTTGAAATTAGGTTTCCTATGAGGGCATGTTGTTTTATCTTACAGATAAAAAGTGGCCCGTATCTGCATGTATCACTGCAAATGTCGTCGAAAGACGATAGTCTTGCGTCCGGAGAGAGTAAGCAAAAGATTTGTTTGATGTTCTGCGTGAGAAAATCGGAGAATGGTATTCTGCAGGCGCTGCATTAGAGTGCTTCGATGCGTGCAACAGAGGCGAACGAGCGCATCGAGGTATACGTGAGACATGAGCGCTATCTGGCAGTTAGCTTGTAAAATGAAAGAATGACCTCTGATATAGCAAGCGCGTGGCATGCGCGCCCGTCTCGGAAGCAATAAGGGGTAGAACGCCAAGTGACGGGTAGGTGCCGCCACCGTGCTGTCTAAGCGAGGCGTTGGAAACACTTGCCTTTTTGTGCTTAATGTTGCAGTGTCAGCGCAGCGTCATAGACGCTATGGTCGTTAGAATTACTTACGTATGTCCTCTCTAGCATAAAGATACATTAACGTGCACGTTAGAATAATGCCCGAAGTTAGTTTCAACTTTCAATATAGGACCCTAGGGCAGACTTGGAACTTGAACGGATTTCGACTAATCAAATTTAGTCGCAAAGTTGTCCCGCGAGGTCGACAGGCGTTTACGGCAAGCGGCGAAGCTGTCTTGGAGACTGATGAAAATCAAGTCCTAGCAAATTTTCATTTCTGCTTTCAAGGTTTAAGGTCCTCATTATGTACGCAAAGTACATATAAAGTGCGGGTGAGTGGACCCTGACTTCATTTCGGACGCAAAGGAGTAAACGCATGCCTAGAAAAATTCTAAACTATAGATCTGGTGGCTAGTGATGCAGTAGAACCTACAACCGTCGTGCATGATCACACGTCTTTCTCCAGGCGCTTAGATTCGGCGTTGATCAGGCATTTTTATACACCTGGGGAAATTATATTGCTAAGTAGAACAATGCAAGGGTCAGGCATTCTGCGAACAGAAGACGACAAAGAGTCCGGTGAGCGTGCTGTCCTTCCATCTTGGTCGATGCTGTGCACAACAGTGTTGTGCTTCGTGTTATTTTACACAATATGTTATTCAGCACATTTCGCAAGCACTCTCAAATTATGATAGGTAGATTGCCGCTATCCCTCAAGAGGAAAGTAAATAGGAGCTGTATCTTGCCAGTACTTAGCTACGGAGCAGAAACGTGGAGACTTACAAAGAGGGTTCAGCTTAAACTGAGGACGACGCAGCGAGCAATGGAAAGAAAAATGGTAGGTGTAACCTTAAGAGACAAGAAGAGAGCAGAGTGGATTAGGGAAGCAATCCGGGTATAAAAATATCATACTAGAAATCAAGAAGAGGAAATGGACATGGGCCGGACATGTAGCATGTAGACAGGATAACCGCTGGTCATTAAGGGTATAACTGGATTTCTAGAAAAGGCAAGCGGGTCAGGGGGAGACAAGGTTTGGTGGGCAGATGAGATTAAGAAGTTTGCGGGTATAAATTGGCAGCAGCAAGCGCAGGACCGAGTTAACTGGCGGAAAATGGGAGAGGTCTTTGTCCTGCAGTGGACGTAATCAGGCTGATGATAATGATGATGATGATGATGATGATGATGTTACTGTGTTCGTAGGCGCGCGTATGTTGTTCACAAAGAGAATCATTTTCTAAAGTAATACAAGTACTGAACATTTAATGACTGACTCTGATTGCGCAATCAGAACATGCGATCAAGTCATGGACCGCACATCTGTAGGGAGAGACAAAAAGCGCAGAAAACTAACGACCAACGCAGGCTCTTAATCTCTGCCACGCACACTCCACGTTGCGCACTGCTCATAGTAAAGCACTTTATAAGAGGTTGTTCGCCAACTGTTCGGACGGTGAGTCAGGACTAACAAACCCCGCGGCGTCCACCTCCCGCGCTCTATCAGTCGAAAACCAGTGCTGTAGCAGAGGGCATATCCCGCGTCAAGTGCGCGAAGTGACCGGCAGCGGCGCTGCATGCGTTGGTTCCCCGCCGAGATCGCAGGCGCCCGACGCGCCCTCTCTCGCCAGCGCCCGCGGCGTTCCCTGCGCTGTGTGCAAGCGGCGCTTGTATCCTTGTCGCAGCGTCGACAGTCAAGCATACCTCCGGCACGGGGATGGAAGAGGGGTCGCTGAGAGTTTTTCGGGAAATCTCGGCGACCCTGTTTTCTTACGGTGCGAAAGCTGTACACACCACTCCCATCACGCTCTTTCACCACCGAACCGTCTACAGCAGCGCGTGCTGTAGTGACGTCGGCGGTTATGGAGGAAACCGTTAATCGCGCGAGAAGCGCGCGAGTTAATCCGGGATCAGCCCTTGGGCAAACATCTGAGCGGGGGAGCTGCCGCCTGCCTCATGCGCGCGGGTGGCGAGACCGGGACGCCGTTTGAGATTTCGCCCGGCAGGCACGCCGTTCTTTGCACGTATCCGAGAACGGTCCTGCGATTCTTTCAGAATGCACGCTGTGGTGGTGGCACTTCCAAAAGCCCAGCGTGGTCCTGTTCTGCGGAGTGCCTCATGATGACGGTGCATCCTCCGACTGCCAGTCATCTCCTCGTTTTGTCAGGCTCTGTTATTCTTCCGTTCGCGTTTAGGCCCTGTTGAGTTACAACTCGAAATAAACGAAAAAAAAAAAACTGCGAAAAAAAAAAACACTTTTACATAACCTCTAGCTGGCAAGAAAACTGTGGGCGACATAACTTGTGCCTTCTTAACTACGGCATAAGACTTTCACTTAATATGAAAGTAATTAAAGCGGAAGAAAACGCGCTCTTTTCGTCGGGGATATATAGACCCAGAACCTTCGAATTACACTTCCTGCGTTCGACTATTTGAACTACGATGTACGGCGCTCACCCGTCCACCTTATTTGCAGGGAATTTATGTGTGTTTAATACCTGGGAGCGTAAGCCAACACAGTTGTCCATAGAAAACCTAGAAATACCTTCTACCGACTGTGTAGCAGCATTTAGGCGATCACTCAATAAACAATGGCAACTAAAGTGGGATAAAAATCTTAACAAACAAACTCCGTGTTATCAAACCAACGATTGGAGAATGGGAGTCGTGCAGACACCAGGAGCGTTTCATAGAAGTAGTTCTGTGCAGACTACGAATTTGACATGCACACCTGACCCGTAGTTACCTACTGCGTAATGAGCAACCGTCTTATCAGACGCGTGGAGAAATTTTGACAGCAAACCATCTTTTGATCTCTTGTACAAAAATAGAGCGGGAATGGAAACCTTTTCAGTCCCTATACCATCAACAAGCACCATTTAATCCAGCTTTTTTTATTGGTGAAAACCCTTCATTGGAACTGAAGAATCTCATCAGATTCCTAAAAGCTATAAATTTACTGAAACTACTCTGACTATTATAACCAAAAACATTAGGACCTGTTTTTAATATTTATCTTGTACACAAAAAATACCTTGCCTTTGGCGCAATATAGACTTAGTCGCTTTTGTACCACAAAACCCGACACAAAAAACAAACAAACAAGATTATTGCAAGATTTTCGTTAGGTTCGCAATCGTAGCTGGTAACCATAGTTCCTGCAGCGGCATGGTATTCAAGCATTCGGGTAATTTTTGTCTTGAATGTGGGGTGTTTGGAATAAAGGGACTTACTCGCCCTCTCGTACAGACCATCTGTATACCGTTGCCCATGCACTTATATACCGTTGCCCATGTACAGACCATCTGCATACCGTTGCCCATACCGTTGCCCATATACGTATTGAATCAAGCGAATTGAATGGGAACAGTTGGGATAAGAGTTAATGGAGAGTACCTTAGTAACCTGCGCTTCGCCGATGACATTGCATTGCTGAGAAACTCAGGGGACGAATTGCAAATCATGATTACGGAGTTAGACAAGGAGCGCAGAAAGGTGGGTCTTAAAATGAATCTGCAGAAAACAAAAGTAATATACAACAACCTCGGAAAAGAGCAGCGCTTCGAGATAGGTAATAGTGCACTTCAAGTTGTAAGAGACTATGTCTACTTAGGGCAGGTAATAACCGCGAAGCCAAACCACGAGATTGAAGTAACTATAAGAATAAGAATGGGGTGGAGCACATTTGGCAAGCACTCTCAAATTATGACAGGTAAATTGCCACTATCCCTCAAGAGAAAGGTATATAACAGCTGTATCTTTCCGGTACTTAGCTACGGAGCAGAATCCTGGAGACTTACAAAGAGGGTTCAGCTTAAATTGAGGACGACGCAGCGAGCAATGGAAAAAAAAATGGCAGGTGTAACCTTAGGAGACAAAAAGAGAGCAGAGTGGATTAGGGAACAAACGGGGGTTAAGGATATCATAGCTGAAATCAAGAAAAAGAAACGGACATGGGCTGGGCATGTAGCGCGTAGACAAGATAACC